TCTGGTGGAGGCAATCTGTTGTTTGTTTTATCTTGTCTTTTTGGGTCATAGCCTGTGATGTTCAGGGGTTACTCCTGGCTCTGCACTTAGGAATTACTCCTGGCAGTGCTCAGGGTGCCATATGGGATGCCGGGGATCGAACCCGGGTTGGCCACGTGCAAGGCAAATGCCCTCCCCACTGTACTATCACTCCGCCCCAGAGCAAGCAGTGTGATGGAGGCGGTCTGATGGAGGGAGCAGTCTGATGGAGGAGGCGGTCTGATGGAGGAGGTAGTCCTGTGACCATAAGATCAGGCAGTGAAGGCAGCGGGGGAACTCTGCTGGGCTAGGTAAGAGAAGAAAGGACCACACTACCGGCCTGGTGGGGAGGGAAGGGGGCAGGGAGTCACAGCGGGAGTGCCCACAGTGTCCAGTCCCTGAGACCCTGAATGCCCAGAGTTCAGTCCCTGAGGCCCCTGAGTGTCCACTGCGCCCAGTCCCTGAGGCCCGAGTGTCCACTGCGCCCAGTGTCCGAGGCCCCTGAGTGACCACTGCATCCAGTGCCCAAGGCCCCTGAGTGTCCCCTGCGCCCAGTGCCCGAGACCCCTGAGTGTCCACTGCGCCCAGTGCCCGAGCCCCCTGAGTGACCCCTGCACCCAGTGCCCGAGGCCCCTGAGTGTCCACTGCGCCCAGTGCCCGAGCCCCCTGAGTGACCCCTGCGCCCAGTGCCCGAGCCCCCTGAGTGATCCCTGCGCCCAGTGCCCGAGCCCCCTGAATGACCCCTGCGCCCAGTGCCCGAGGCCCCTGAGTGTCCCCTGCGCCCAGTGCCCGAGGCCCCTGGGTGTCCACTGCGCCCAGTGCCCGAGCCCCCTGAGTGTTCCCTGCGCCCAGTGCCCGAGGTCCCTGAGTGTTCCCTGCGCCCAGTGCCCGAGGCCCCTGGGTGTCCACTGCGCCCAGTGCCCGAGGCCCCTGAGTGTCCCCTGCGCCCAGTGCCCGAGGCCCCTGAGCATCCACTGCGCCCAGTGCCCGAGGCCCCTGAGCATCCACTGCGCCCAGTGCCCGAGGTCCCTGAGCGTCCACTGCGCCCAGTGCCCGAGGCCCCTGAGTGTCCACTGCGCCCAGTGTCTGAGGCCCCTGAGTGTCCGCTGTGCCCAGTGCCTGAGGCCCCTGAGTGTCCACTGCGCCCAGAGTCCAGTCCCTGAGGTCTTGAGTGTCCACTGCACCCAGTCCCTGAGGCCCCTGAGTGTCCACTGCGCCCAGTCCCTGAGGCCCGAGTGTCCACTGCGCCTAGTGCCCGAGGCCCCTGAGCGTCCACTGCGCCCAGTGCCTGAGGCCCCTGAGTGTCCACTGTGCCCAGTGCCTGAGCATCAACTGTGTCCAGCCCACCCCCAGCATCTTGCTGGTTTGAAGGAAGAAGGGGACAGGGGCTGCGATTCTCACTTGCAGGTGAGGGAAACTGAGGCAGGAGTCAGCGGTCAAACTCCTCAGCCAAGGGCGGGTAGCTGATTTGGGAGGGGGAGGTGGGCATGTGCTGTGGGGGTCCCAGGCCCGAGCTTCAGGGGTTAGGCCAGGGAGCTGAGGGGCTCAGGGCAGTGCCCACGCCACACTTGGGGCCTGCAGGGTGGACGGCTGAGGAAGCGCCCCTCGCCCTGATCTCGGAGCTGCCGGTGTTGGGACGGCTCCTGGCCAAGCCTGGGGCAGTGGGCAGGGGCTCGGGGCCTGAGCCGGGCGGGGGCCGCAGAACAGGGTCGCTTTGTTCTCACCCGGGAGGTGGCGTCCATCGGAAGAGGAAGGACCATCGCGGGGTGGGCTCTGACTCAGGGGGACGATGGGGCCCCGTTAGGGCGCTTCTCCCGCATCTGGGTGTGGGGGGGGGCAGACAGCAGAGGGGAGGGGTGGGCGGACCCAGGGGTGGGCGAACTTTCTGGGGGCAGGGCCTCCGAGGAGCTCCCGGAACCCAGGGCCCTGCAGGTGGGCGCAGGCTTGTCGCCTCGGTGCCCACCCACCGCTGGGAAGGACAAGGAATGGATAGTGTGACCGTGAGGCGCTGTGGGCGGTGCTGGCACACCTCAGGGCCGGAAACACAAGGCAGGGGCTGGGGGAGGCGTTTGCCTGGCACTGGACGGGCCCCTGTTCAGTCCCTGGCTCTGTTCAGGGTCCTGGTGGGCTGGGGGACCACATGGGGTGCGGGGGGTCAAACCCTGTTGGGTGGAGTGGCAGGCCAGCGTCACCCACTGTACTGTCGCTCCCGTCCCACTTTGTCTGAGTGTTTCACCGTTTGTTAAACTGATTCCTGGGTGTACTTGATTTTTTTTTTTGAGGTACAATTGTGAATGGATTGTTGTTGTTTTTTTTTTCCTGGGGGGAGGTGGTCACACCTAGCAATGCCCAGAGGTTACTCCTGGCTCTGCACTCAGGAATTACTCCTGGCGGTGCTCGGGGGACCCTATGGGATGCTGGAGATTGAACCTGGGTTAGCTGCATGCAAGGCAGACACCCTACCCGCTGTGCTATTGCTCCAGCACCCAGGATTGTTGTTGGTTTTAATTTCTCTCTCTCTCTCTCTCTCTCTCTCTCTCTCTCTCTCTCTCTCTCTCTCTCTCTCTCTCTCTCCTGTTTCATTGTTGCATGTAGAAATACCGCAGATGTCTGCAGGTTGCTCTGTAGAACCTGCCACTTTACTGTTGCAGTTTTATGGTTTCTGGGTGCTTTTTTAAGTCTCTAGGTAGATAGTGTCATGTCATTTGCAAACAGGGAAGAGTGGGACTCCTGTCTGACGCCCTTAGTGTCGCTTTCTTGCCTGATTGCCACGGGCGGGCTGCCAGCTCTGTGCCGGATAGTAGAGGGGGCGTCCCCATCCTGTCTGTGATCTAACCGGGAGGGAGTTCCACCCTGGACGATGCTGTTCGACGTGGGCTTTGTACATTCCCAGAGACCCTCCCGGGAGACCTCGGGTGCCCCTGTAACTGGAGGATTTGGGAGGCGGACGTGGATGTCTTGAGTGGGAGCTGGCGTGAGTGGGCCGGCTACCTGGGTTGTGAGTTTGTCCTCTCCCCTAAGTTTGTCCTCACCCTGCCTCAGCAGGCCGGGGTCGTGCTCTGGCGGGCGGGGGACTCCAGAAGCTGCGGGGGGGGGGGGGGGCGTTGCATGGACGGTGCCTCCCCTGCCAGCTCCCACCGACCCCTGTGCTGGCTCCCAGCTCCCCGGAGTCCTGCGCCTGCAAGACCAGGGCCCGGCACACCCTCCGCCCGCGTTCCTTTGCAGAAAGAGCCGCTGACACGCGGTGTAGACTCCGGCCCCCGAGGCCACGCCCCGCGGCACAGTGACACCGGCGCCGCCCGCTGCGTGGGTGGGGGGGAAGCCCCGTGGGATGCCTGGGACCCAGGGGACCCGCAGGCCGGCAACGTCCCAGAGCGGGCGAGGCCGGCGCTTGCAAAGCTCTGCCGGCGCGCCCTCGCCCGGCGGCTCCCCCAGGCGCAAGCTTAGCAGGGCTCGAGCTCGGCGCTCGAGGGCGGGGGCCTGGCCCGAGGCCCCCGGGCAGCGCCTCCAGGCCCCGGTCTCCATGGCAACCGCTCAGGAGCCGGTCCACGTGGCAGGGTCCAGGGCGCTCTGTGTGGGCGCAGCCTGGTGGGGGAGGGCCTCTGGTGGAGGACCGGTCGGGGATCCGGGAGCGGGGGGCGTGGCGGGGCTCGGTGAGCATCCTGCAGGCGTGGCCGCAGCGGTGGGCGCGGGGAGGGCGCTGGGAGTAGGGTGGTCTGCGCGTTTGCCCGCCGTGAGAGGGAGGGAGCTCCTGGACACCTCCTGGGACCCCCGAAATAGCTCAAGGGGGATGCACGCTACCCGGAGCCTGGGGGGAAGCGGCGTAGAGAGGGGCTGCGGCCGAGGTGGCCCGGCCCGCCCATGTGGACTCCGCCCCCGTCCTTTCTGGGCCCCGCCTTACTAGGGCGGTGCCCCGCCCCTTTACAGGCCACGCCCCTTCCCGGTCCAGGCCACGCCCAGGTGGTAGGCCCTCTCCCAGCCCCGGGGAAGCCCATCGTTCCGGTCAAGCCCCGCCTCTCGGGCCAGGCCCCGCCTCAGGTTAGACCCCGCCCTATCGGCCTGTCCCGGGAGAGCCCACGATTCCGGTCAGGCCCCGCCCTTCCCTTGTGGCCCCGCCTCTCAGGCAGGCCCCGCCCCTCATACCAGGCCACGCCCCTCCGGCCAAGCCCTGCCCCGGCCTGGACCCTCCCCTCCCTCCAAGTCCTGCCCCGGCCGGGCCCCGCCCCTCCGGCCAAGCCCTGCCCCGGCCTGGACCCTCCCCTCCCGTCTAGCCCTGCCCCGGCCGGACCCACCACTCCCGCCAAGTCCTGCCCCGGCCTGGACCCTCCCCTCCCGTCTAGCCCTGCCCCGGCCGGACCCTCCCCTCCCGTCTAGCCCTGCCCCGGCCGGACCCTCCCCTCCCGTCTAGCCCTGGCCCGGCCTGGACCCTCCCCTCCCGTCTAGCCCTGGCCCGGCCGGGCCCCGCCCCTCCGGCCAAGCCCTGCCCCGGCCTGGACCCGCCCCTCCCGTCTAGCCCTGCCCCGGCCGGACCCTCCCCTCCCGCCAAGCCCTGCCCGGCCAGGCCCCGCCCCTCCGGCCAAGCCCTGCCCCGGCCTGGACCCTCCCCTCCCGTCTAGCCCTGCCCCGGCCGGACCCCCCCACTCCCGCCTAGCCTTGCCCTGGTCAGGCCCCGCCCCTCCCGCCTAGCCCTGCCCCGGCCGGGCCCGCCCCTCCGCCCGGGCCCCGCCCCTCCGCCCGGGCCCCGCCCCCGCCAAGCCCCGCCCCCGGCTCCGAGGGCGCCGCGTCCACGCCGCGCTGCGAGCCCGGGGCGCTCGCCGGCGCGCGGAGCAATGATTAACCCGGCGGGGCGGCGGGCGCAGGGCCCGGGGCGGAGGCGCGGGGCCGGGGCGGGCCCCTGCAGCGGCGCGCGGCTTCCTGCTCCCGCCCGGGCCGGCTCCTAGGCAGGGCGCGGGCCGGCCGGTCACCATGCGGACTCTCCGCAGGCTGAAGTTCATGAGTTCGCCCAGCCTGAGCGAGCTGGGCAAGCGCGAGCCGGCGGCGGACGAGCGGGGCACGCAGCAGCGCCGGGCCTGCGCCACCGCCACCTGGAACAGGTAAGGCCGCGCCCGCCCAGGGGTGCGCCGGGCCCCGGGGTGCCCACGTTCCCGCCCGCGGTGCGCCCCGGCCCCGTGCAGACGGGCGGGGATCCGGCGAGGGGCCCCGCGCGGAAACGGATCGTGTTTCCAGCCCACGGAGGGGCGAGAGGGGCGCGGGCCGCCCCCCACACCTGGCGGGGACCTCCTGGCAGCTGCTGCACCCGGGGACGCAGCCGGCAGTGTGGCCCCCGGGCAGCCCGCCAGGGGACCCTCCCCTGGGCCCGGGGCACGACTCCCACGCACGCACGTGCTGAGCGCTGGGGACCTGGCTGCCTCGGTTTCTCCGCCTGGCCATCGGTGTGCAGAGCAGAGCCACACGCCCCTACAAGGGAAGGACTCTTGGACCCAATGACCCCACACCGCCCTGTTCTGATTTGGAGGGGACAGGGAGCCCCGGATGCCTTCAGCCAAGCCTGGGCCTCCCCCCATCCCCTCCTCACACACACACTCACCGCCCGCGCAGTCTGAAAGTCATTTTTCCTGCCACAAAATTAAGGCTGCCGAAGTTCTGCCTTCCATCTCCCCAGCTCAGTGGACGGAGGCAGAGACACCCCCCGCACCCCGTTCCTGCTTGCCGCCCTGAGCCACGGATGCCGAGTCGCTCTGTCCTCACTCACAAAGGCCAGGGCAGGAGGGACAGACTTCGGGACAGTGTCCTGGGGCCCCCCAGAGCTTTCCTGAGACCCTCTTCCCTCCACCCGTTGATGTGACGTGCTGGGGTGCAGAGCCAGGGGGACGCCCTGGGACTGGGACAGGTGACACCCGTGGGCAGTGTCTGCCTCCACCCTCCTTGGGGTCCCCTGACTGACCACGTGCTTCCTGCCACCAGCTGGCCACAAAGGCAGGAATGTGCACGACTGTCTCCAGGCTCCGATCCATGGGGCGGCCAGCTTCTGCAGAGGCTGTGGGAGGAGGGAGGGCTCCCCTTCAGCTGCTGGGGGGCTGCCCGCCTTCCCGCCTGCACGGCCCCCCTTCCCGGCCTCGGAAGGCCCACTCCAGCGACCCCAGAGACGACCTGGTCCAGGGTCCGGAGCAATAGCACAGTGGGGAGGAGGGCGTTGGCCTTGCATGTGGCCAACCCTGGTTTGATCTTGGCACCTCATAGGGCCCCCTGAGCGCCGCCAAGAGTGATTCCTGAGTGCAGAGCTGGGAGGAAGCCCTGAGCACCCCTGGGTGTCCCGGGGTACGAGCGCCCGGGAAGGATTCCTGGCTGCTCAACGAGAGCTTGTGCTGGAACTGAACTGCCCTACGGAGCCCATAGTCGGGAGTCGTCCCAGACGGGGGCCGGAGCACAGGGGCCCCCCTGGGAGGTTACAGGGAGCAGGCCTGCCCGGCCCCGGGCATGTCTGGTGGGTGGGGGGAAGCTGGCCGCCCCGGGGCCCCAGGCTGCTCAGGAATGTGGCCCAGCTGTCGGATTCCTGAGTCTCCCGGCAACAGCTGCCTGGCGTCCCCTGCACAGCCGGTGGGAGTCCCGCCTTGAGCCCGACAGTGGCCACCGCCCTCCGCCGCCTATGGGGAAGGGCCAGCCGGGCGCTGAGTGTCTGTCCCTCACGCTCACACTGGGGTCGCAGGGGTCACAGGCCGTGCTAGGGCAGCAGGGCAGAGGCGGGTCCTCCGCACAGGAGGGCAGGTGCCAAGGGCAGCACCTACAGCTTGGCTGCAGGATCCGCTGCCCAGCTGGGCACCAGCGGGACCCGCTCCAGGCACCACATGAGAAGTCCTGTCAGGCGTGCGTGCCCTGGGGAGATGGCACAGGCCATCCCAAGGGGCTCCCTCCTCCTGGCCCGGGTGTGGAAGGTTCTAGAACCTCAGCAGAGTGCTGCATGCAGGTTCCATCTATGTATGTGGGGAGAGCTGGCCGTCCACTGCCCAGAGACTCAGACCGGGGCGGGGTGCCCAGAGGCTGGGGCTGGGTTGGGAGGTGAGATTTGGGGACCTGCTTGGCCCCGCCTCCGGGTTCTGTTCTGGAATGGAGCGGGAGAGCGGGAGGGCGTTGGCGGGGAGGGCCGGGGTCCCAGGCGGTCACCCTGCTCTCCCCCTTACAGCATTCACAACGGGGTCATCGCAGTATTCCAACGCAAGGGGCTGCCCGACCAGGAGCTTTTCAGCCTCAACGAGGGTGTCCGGTGAGTGCCCACCTGGGGGTGGGGGGGGGTGTCTCAGGGTGGGAGCCTCACCCCACACCCCCACGCGGCTTCCTGCTGTGCGGCATGGGGAGGGAACCCAGCCCCTCACTCTCGGCTCTGCCCCCGCAGGCAACTGCTGAAGACGGAGTTGGGGGCCTTCTTCACGGAGTATCTACAGGTGGGTGCCCAGGGCCGGTGTGAGGGACGGGAGAGGGGGGTCCTGGCCTCGGGGCTCTGTGCACACCTCGGCTCCGAGGGCTCAGCTGGCACGTGACTGCTTGCCCTGGCCAAGATGAGCAGCCGTCCACGCCCCCGGCATCGGTCAAGGCCTCTGAAGCTAGTGGGGGTGGCTGGCCTGCGGCCTGTGGGATGCAGACACGCTCAGGCGACAGCTGGAGAGGCCCAGGGACAGGGGCCAGCCTGCAGGGGGCCAGGGCTGGGGTCGTGGGAGGCCCAGGGACAGGGGACGGGCTGCAGGGGCCTGGGGCTGAGAGGGCTCGAGGCTCTGAGAGCCACCCACCCCCAGAGCATGTTCTGTATCCCTGGGACAGTGACCACTTCTCCGTGCTGCCTTTTAGAACCAGCTGCTGACCAAGGGCATGGTGATCCTGCGGGACAAGATCCGCTTCTATGAGGGTGAGTCTGTGGGCAGTCTCGGGGGGCGGTGGTGTGGGCGGGGCCACGTGCTGGAAGGGGCTGGTGTGGGCGGGGCCTGGGTAGGGCCATGTGGGCGGGGCCTGGGTAGAACTGTGGGTGGAGCCTGGATGGGACCGTGTGGGCGGGGCCTGGGTAGAACTGTGGGTGGAGCCTGGATGGGACTGTGTGGGCGGAGTCTGGGTAGAACAGTGTGGGCGGGGCCTGGGTAGAACTGTGGGTGGAGCCTGGATGGGACCGTGTGGGCGGGGCCTGGGTAGAACTGTGGGTGGAGCCTGGATGGGACCGTGTGGGCGGAGTCTGGGTAGAACAGTGTGGGCGGGGCCTGGGTAGAACTGTGGGTGGAGCCTGGATGGGACTGTGTGGGCGCGGCCTGGGTAGAACTGTGGGTGGAGCCTGGATGGGACCGTGTGGGCGGAGTCTGGGTAGAACAGTGTGGGCGGGGCCTGGGTAGAACTGTGGGTGGAGCCTGGATGGGACTGTGTGGGCGCGGCCTGGGTAGAACTGTGGGTGGAGCCTGGATGGGACCGTGTGGGCGGAGTCTGGGTAGAACAGTGTGGGCGCGGCCTGGGTAGAACTGTGGGTGGAGCTTGGATGGGACTGTGTGGGCAGGGCCTGGGTAGAACTGTGGGTGGGGCCTGGATGGGACTGTGTGGGCGCGGCCTGGGTAGAACTGTGGGTGGAGCCTGGATGGGACCGTGTGGGCGGAGTCTGGGTAGAACAGTGTGGGCGGGGCCTGGGTAGAACTGTGGGTGGAGCCTGGATGGGACTGTGTGGGCGGGGCCTGGGTAGAACTGTGGGTGGGGCCTGGATGGGACCATGTGGGCGGGGCCTGGGTAGCACAATGTGGGAGGGGCCTGGTTGAACTGTGGGTGGAGCCTGGATAGAGCCATATGGGCGGGGCCTGAGTACGACTGTGTGGGCGGGGCTCGTGATGGGTGTAGTCAGCACATGATGCTTGTGGGCGGGGCCGCGGTGGGTGGGGCTTGTGGGCGGGGCGTTTATAGGCAGTCTGGTAGATGATTGGTGGGCGGAGCTTCGTGGTGGGCGGGATCCATGGTGGGTGGGTCAGTGGCACCGGTCACGCAGTTCAGTGGGCATGAGCTGGTGCGCTGCCCCGTGGCCCTGCAGCCGTGCCTCTGTAATCCAGGGCACCGTCCTCCTTCCCTCGACCAGAAGGTCCGTGGCAGTGAGAAATAACTCTCCAGGGCTCCCTAAGGCATGGAGTGGGAGGCAGACACTCCCCCCATCTCCCACCCCTGCCCTGAGCAAATTTCTGCCCTGCCTGCGTCCAGCAGTGCTGGTGTCGTGTCCCCTGGGTTCTCTGCCTCGGTGGGGCAGCCCCCCGAAGGACCGGCTTCCCAGTGAGTGGTCAGCCCAGGGCGAGCTGGGGTGCCTTTGCTGGGGGCCAGCCCCCGCCTTATTGGACTCAGCACCTTCCATACAGAGCTACCCCAGCCAGGCCCAGGGCGTCCCGAGAGCTGCAAGGGAGCTGCACTGAGCTCGTCCGGCGGCCCTGGACAGAGCTGGGGGTCAGCACTGAATAGCCTGGGAAACTGAGGCACAGAGCCCCCCAGTCACTCTCCCAGGCTTCTGTCCTGTGTCCCTCTGGCTCCACCTCTGTGTCAGGAAGGAGGGAACGGCTCCGTGGAGCAGCCACAGACGCAGGGCATCCAGGTAGACTTCTCGGAGGAGGCGGCACCTCAGCTAGCTGACCAGCTGGGACACCTGGCGGAGATGCCGTCCCCCGTCCCTCCTGACTCGGCACATTCCCGCAGTGCCTGTCCCTCCTACAACTCCGCCAGGAGAGCGGGCACAGAACAGAAGCCTTGTGTGGCTGGTGGAGTGCTGCCCACAGCAGCCGTGCCCGCCAGGCCATCGTGGGCCATGCCAGACACGTCCAGCCTCCCCCGGCCTCGGGGACAGGCACCGAGACCCAGGCTGGGGCCCACGACCCGGCCCTGGGTCCCACCCTGGGGTCCTACACCAGCCTGGGGCTGCCTCCCGTCCCCAAGGGGCCCTTACCAGGCCAGCTGTGCCCCAGCACTGGCCGGCTTCAATTGGGGGCCCTGTTCTGCCAACCCACGGAGGTTTCCCTGCACACTGAGGCCGCCCCGGCTTCTGGCTCATTCCAGGGCTCAGGGTTTGGTGCATGGTGTCTCAGTGGGTCCCTTCCCAGGCGGTGGCTGGAGCATCTCAGCGCGTCCCTGCCTGGGGACTGTCCACCTGGAGGTGGCAGCTCCCTCCCCAGCATCCCCAGAAACACCCAGAGCTTGTCATATGTCAGTCCCCTCTTTCTCCAGGGTCTCCCCCCATCACACAGGCGACGGGCTCACAGGGGGCTCCCTGGGTGCCCGCATCTTGGAAGGAGGAATGGATGGTGGGGTCCACAGTGGCCTGGGCTGGCAGGGGATTCAGAAGGGATGAGGATGGGGCTGGGGCGATAGCACAGCAGGGAGGGCATCTGCCTTGCATGCGGCTGACCCGGGTTCGATTCCCATCATCCCATAGGGTCCCCCGAGCACCTCCAGGAGTCATTCCTGAGTGCAGAATGGTAACCCCCCCAACCAAAAATCAACAAATAAAATACAGCCCTTCGGGTGCGGGGCTGGGGAGGAGGGCCGGGCAGGTCGCTGGGCTGGGCGCTGACCCCTCGGGTGCCGCCCGCAGGACAGAAGCTGCTGGACTCACTGGCGGAGACCTGGGACTTCTTCTTCAGCGACGTGCTGCCCACGCTGCAGGCCGTGTTCTACCCGGTGCAGGTGCTGCGGGGCCCCAGCCATGGGAGCGGCGGGTGGGGGAGGCGGGAGGATGGCCAGTTCATGACTTGGTGGTGTCCACCCCTGCAGGGTAAGGAGCTGTCCGTGCGCCAGTTGGCACTGCTGCACTTCCGGAACACCATCGCGCTCAGCGTGAAGCTGGAGGATGCGCTGGCCCGTGGCCACGCCCGCGTGCCCCCCGCCATCGTCCAGATGCTGCTGGTGCTGCAGGTGGGCACGGCGGGGGTGGGGGTAGGGGGACAGCAGGACCTGAGAGCGCCCCCTACAGGCAAGAGGCTGCCCCTGCCCTGTTGTGTCTCTCTGGGGGCCAGGCTGGCTGGTGCTGCCGCCCTGGTGGCCACTCTGTGTACCGCAGAACACACACAGATATACACACAGATACACACACACACAGGCACATACATAGACACACACATACACAGGCACATACATAGACACACACATACACAGACACACACACAGGCTGGCTGGTGCTGCCGCCCTGGTGGCCACTCTGTGTACTGCAGAACACACACACATACATAACACACACACATACACACACAGACACCCGCAGACACACACACACAGACACATACACACGCATTCGCACACACACACGCAGACATACACAGGCTGGCTAGTGCTGCCTCCCTGGTGGCCCACAGACACACACACGCAGACATACAGAGGCTGGCTGGTGCTGCCGCCCTGGTGGCCACTCTGTGTACCGCAGAACACACACACATACATAACACACATACACACAGACACATACACACGCATTCACACACACACACACGCAGACATACAAACACAGAGGCTGGCTAGTGCTGCCTCCCTGGTGGCCACTCTGTACTGCAGAACACACACACACACACACACACACACACACACACACACACACACATGACCCGTGCCCCGTCAGTGCTGTTTCACTGGTTTCCCCGGTTTCCCCTCCCTCTCGGTCCTGGCCAGGGCTACCTCGAACTTCGTCACTCTCCAAGAACCAGCCTTTGGTTTTGTTGATTTTGGGGGGCCCGTTTCCTGCCTTGGCTTCTCGTGACGCTTTCCCCTGGCGCCTGTCACTTCCTGACATTTCCCTTCCTTCGCGCATCCGTTCTGTAGAGTGAGTCCCGTTGCCCCTCTATCGGAGCGTCACGTCAGCGTGGAATTGGGTGCGTTTTTCTGGTGTCCAGGTCAGGGGCCACACTCACAGTGTCTGGGGTGACTCCCGGCCTAGTGCTTCTGACGCTGCCTTGGGGAGCGCCGGGGACGAAACCCGGTTTCCCGCCCCCCAGAAGCCTGCACTCCGCCCGCCCAGCTGCCTCTGGCCTGCTCTGCCCCCTTAGGCAGCACCAGGGCTGCGCACGGGGGAGGGGTGAGACTGGCGCATGGCACGTCCTGGATCTGTGCCGGGCCTGTGCTGTGTGGCCCGGTCCCGGCCTGTCTCCGCACACATTCCCTGTAGCTGGAGGAGACCACGTCCTGCTCCGAGCTGGGTCACCTGTAGCTGGTGGTGGCTGGTGATTCACGGCCAGGCTTCCTACAGCGTGCCTCTCCGTTTCTTTTTTGCTTTTTCTTTTTCCTTTTTGCTTTTTTTTTGGGGGGGGGAAGGGGGGTTCACACCCGGCGATGCACAGCGGTTCCTCCTGGCTCATGCACTCAGGAATCACTCCTGGCGGTGCTCAGGGGACCCTATGGGATGCTGGGAATCGAACTGGGGTCAGCTGCGTGCAAGGCAAACGCCCTCCCTGCTGGACTGTCACTCCGGCCCGCCTTTCCATTTCTGGGCTCTGGGGGGCCATCCCTGTGGGTCTGGTGCCTCTTGAGCCATGGGGGCCGAACCCCGCAGTGTTCGGGAGGGCGCCGCAGGTATGCGCCCACCTTTAAGCCGTCTCCGAGGCTGTAACAGACTCAGACGTTTCTCTGCCTTTGCTGTCCTCATGTGCACGTGCTCTGTGGCCCGTGTGACCGTGACAGACACGAGCCTCCCCCAGGGCTGGGTCCTTCTCCTCCTGCGGCTCTTTATCCCGGATAACGGCCGCGAGTGGCCTGGGGTGGGCGCAGCCCAGCCCCCACCTGCCCGCCCGCTCTGGTGTGGAGCAGCGTCCTAGGCACCTGCCGTCTGGGTTCCAGTGCGTGGAGACCACGGGGTCGTTTTCTTTTCTGGGCTTTCTTGTGTTCCTGGGTCACACCCAGGGGTGCCCAAAGGTCACTCCCGGTGGTTCGGGTGGGGAGGTGGCACGCGTGGTGGGGTGTGGATCAGAGCCCTCCCTGGCCCTGGGGTGCGTCTCCGGCTGTTGGGACTGTCCCTGCCTGAATGTTTCTTTACTGTCCCCACCTGATTGGGATTTTTTTCTTTTTTTTGCTTTTTGGGTCACACCCGGCGATGCACAGGGGTTACTCCTGGCTCTGCACTCAGGAGTTACTCCTTGCGGTGCTCGGGGGACCATATGGGATGCTGGGAATCGAACCCGGGTTGGCCGCGTGCAAGGCAAACGCCCTACCCACTGTGCTATCTCTCCAGCCCCTGATTGGGATTTTTGTTTTGTTTTGTTTTGTTTTGTTTTGTTATGTTTGCTTTTTGGGTCCCACCCAGTGATGCTCAGGGGTTCCTCCTGGCTCTGCACTCAGGAATCACTCCTGGTGGTGCTTGGGGGACCCTATGGGATGCTGGGAATCGAATCCGGGTTGGCCGCACCCTACCTGCTGTGTTATCGGTCCAGCCCCCACCTGTTTCTTGCTGTCCCCACCTGAATATTTCTCACTGTCTGTCCAGCCCTTGTGTGAGCTGATGGCCACCCCAGCGGGGCCCAGGCTGTACTAGGGGCAGCCTCATCCCTGGGTTTGGCTCCCAGGCGGGTGAAACCCACAAGCTCTGGGCCAGGGACACGGGGTAGGACTCTTAGAGACCCCTGCAGTGCTCCTGGACTCAGGCGCCAAGGATGGGCCCCCCGGGACGGCCTTATGCAGGGGACGTGTTTGGCCAGACCCCCTGGCCTGGGCGCACCGGCGGTCCTGGAGGGGTGCGACCTCGGGCCAGGCGGGACTGGATTGGGGGTAGCGAGGGTCCCCCCACACATCTGCGAGGGGCGGGGCCGCGCAGGCGCGCAGTGACCCTCCCACTCCTCTCTTGCAGGGGGTGCACGAGGCCAGGGGCGTGACCAAGGACTACCTGCGCCTGGAGACGCTGGTCCAGAAGGTGGTGTCGCCCTACCTGGGCACCTACGGCCTCTGCTCCAGCGAGGGCCCCTGCGCCCACTCCTGCATCCTCGGTACGGCCCAGGCGGGGAGACGCGGGTCCCCACACAGGTGCTTGCCTGGGTCCCTCCCACACCCCTCGGGGCCTCGGTCTTCCCGGGAGGCCAACACTAGCCGAAGGGCTCAGCCCGGCCTCTGCGTTAGTCTGTGGGGCTGGGGCGGGGGGGCGAGTGGTATTGGGGAGTGGACCCACAGCCCCTCAATGCAAAGCCTGTGTCCATCCCTGCAAGCCGCCTACCCGGGAGGACAAGGTTGGGGTAGCCCAGCCCGCTGACCCCTTATCAGTGCATTGACCACCCTGGGCACGGTGCCCCGCCCTGGCCTCCCGGGCCTGTCCATCTCCAGGAGTCGGGCCAATGAGTGACCTACAGGGAGGTCCCTGGGGGCAGTGGGTGGGAGTCAGAGAGGGACAGGGCCCAGCCCGGGACGGCCACCAGCTGCCCGCAGGGGACAACGGTGCTCGAGCTCAGCCCTGCCACCCGGTGGCCGCTGCGCAGCACTGCAGGACTCTGCATCTGCCAGTTGCCGCCACTTCCTCCATCCCCCAGACCCCCAGTGCCCACATCCCCCCAGACTCCACAACCCCCACTTCCTGCATCACGCATCCCCCCAAAAAACCCTGCTGCCCACATCCCCCAGGTCCCCTGCTTCTCCCTCTCGGCTCCCGGCACTCGGCCCGAACCCCAGACCGACGCCCCGTGTGGTCCTGTGGTCCTGAGCGTGGACCAAGTCATGGCTGCCCGCGTCCTCCCGTGCGGTGCTGGGGACCAAACCCGGGGCCTCCCGTGGGCCAGGCACACGCTATGCCAACCCCAGTCAGAGGCCAGTCTCACCTCGGGTTGACCCCCAGGCCCTTCCTCAAAGCCGTGTCCAGCCGGCCACGGGACGGGCTGGCTGCTGTCCTGGCACTGCCGAGTGGCCGCCACCTGACACCCTGTCCTCCCTCCCTCTCTCCCTCTCTCCTCCCTCCGTCCCTCTTCCTCTCTCTCGTTCTCTCCCTCTCCCTCTCCCCGCAACAGAGAAGCACTTCCTGCGCGGCTCACGCCCGGGGGACAGCCTGGCCAAGAACCCCGTGGCCCGCTCCAAGAGCTACAACACGCCCCTGCTGAACCCGGTGGCTGAGCACGAGGCGGAGGGGGCGGCGGGCGGCGGCTCGGGCGTCCGCCGGCACTCGGTGTCCGAGATGACGTCGTGCCCCGAGGCCCAGGGCTTCGGCGACTCCCCGGCGTCCGGCAGCCCCAGCAGACTGTACCCCGCGGGCGCGGCGCCCGGCTCCCCCGGCTCGTCCAGCCCCGAGAACCTGGTGGACCACATCCTGGAGTCCGTGGGCTCCGACACCGGCGGCATCTTCATCGACTTTGGACGGGGCGACCGCTCGGACACGCCCGAGTTGGGGGACTTGGGGGACCGGCAGAGCATCCTGTGAGCCAGAGCGGGCCGGGGGCTCCTGGTGGGACCCAGCGCACAGGCCAGCCTGGCCCCCGCCCCACGGACGGCAGGTTCCCGGACATCTGCGCCCCTCGACCCTCCAGCCTCCAGCTGAGACGGGCTCGGACCCCTGGCTGGTCGCCTGGGGCCTGGCCGAGGGACTGACCCGGGGCCTGGGCGTGGGCGCAGAGGGAATAAACCACTTCCAGCCCAGCTCCGTGACCCGGATCTCACACTTGGGCCCCGCAGGCCGGTTCCCACGTCTCTGGGCTCTGGGTCCTTCCGCCCGCAGGCCCAGGAGGAGCGGGGGGTGGGGGGGAGCTGGGGTGTCTGTGGGGGCAGCGGCTGAGGCAAGGGGTGCTAGGACCCCTGTAGGGTGTGGGGGTGCTGCTCCCGAGTCCAGTTCTGTGGGGGGTGTTTGGGGGGCCGAGTTTCTCCCCTCGCATGGGAGGAACAAGGCAGGACTCGGGGCTCAGCCCGCCGGGGGTCCCAAGGGGGCCGTGGAGCCCAGTTTGCGTCTCTGCTGAGAGTTTCTGGACTTGGGTCCAGCCACAGGACAGCGGGGAGGGTGCTGACCCCTCCCCGCACCATATGGTCCCCCCTCCCCACCCCCGCGCCAGGAGTGACCCTGAGCATAGAGCCAGGAGTGACCCTGAGCACTGCTGGCTGTGACTCAAAAGCAAAAAGGGGTGCGAGGGCACTGGGTAGGCCCCCCAAGAGGGAGGGGGCGGCCCAACACCCCAGGAGTCCATGTCACAGAGCTCAGTTTCTCCCAGTGTTCGTGCTTGGGGTCGTGTGATGCCAAGGGCCAGCCGGGTACTCCTGGGCGCCAAGGCCGGGCGCTGAAAACGGCTCCCAGGCTCCAGAGTGGCCGGAGGTCACTCGGGACCTGGCCCCAGCATCTCCTGCAGAGAGGGGGAGGCCCCCGCGCTGCTGTTGACTCCCAGCCAGCCGGGGGAGTGGGGGGGGGGGTGGGGTCGGGGACAGGGCTTGTACCTGGCACCGAGGCGACAAGTCCTTCCTGGTCCTCGCTGTGAGGCCAGGAGTGACCCTGAGCACAGAGCCAGGAGTCAGCCCTGAGCGCAGAGCCGGGAGTCAGCCCTGAGCACAGAGCCAGGAGTCAGCTCTGAGCACCACAGAATATCACACCACACACACACACACACACACACACAAACTTTTCAGAGACAAAGATTGAGAGAAACTCCGGCATGTTCAGCTGCTGGCACCCCGGGAACGTTCTGGATTCTTTCCTTGGGGCGGGGGCAGGTCTGGGCCCCGCCCAGCAGTGGAACCAGTGCCTTATCTCCTGCACTGCGCCTCTGAATTGTGGACTTTTGTCCCAGAAAAACCACCATCCCATCCCATCAGGCTGAGTAGAGGAAGCGAGTTACAAAAACAGGTGGGGGTGGGTTTCACCACGTGACGCTGGAGGAAGAGCGGGCATCTGTTTGGGCAAGCGTAGCAGATGCCCAGGGCACTGTGGCTACTGGACGCCTGTGTTTGGGGAGGGAGAACATTGGAGTGCCTGGTGCTGTCAGCGGGGATGCATCGGACAGTCCAAGGCCAGCACAGGAGGCCAGGGAGGCTGGGCCCTGAAGGAGGCCAGGGGGGCAGGGCACTTCCATAGTTCAGTGTCTGGCCAGTGGGGCCTGACCCGCTGGGCCCAGGAGAGTTGGGGCAGAGGCTGGGGCGGGCAGGGGTGTCCTCTGTCTGCCAACAGGAGCAAGCTTCTTTTTTGGGGGGGGGTCACACCCAGCGATGCTCAGAGGTTCCTCCGGGCTCTGCACTCAGGAATGACTCCCGGTGGTGCTCCTCAGGGGACCCTCTGGGGTGCCGGGGACTGAACCTGGGTCAGCCACTGCAAGGCAAACGCCCTCCCCGCTGGACCATCTCTCTGGCTCCACAGGGTTTCTGTTTGACTCCCTGGCTCTGGATGTTGCCAGCTGTGGAGTGGAGCAGAAACGGCCACCAGACCCCCAAGCCCCCACACAGTGGGGAAACTCTGGGGCCTTATAAGGCCCCACGGGCAGCTGACAGGGAGAGTTAACTGGAGCTGAAGATGGTGGAGGGGGTCTTTCTCTCCTGCCCCCTTTCAGTTCTCCAACTTGTTCATGTGGAATTTGCTGCTGGCGGAAGAGGGGAGGGAGGAGGCGGAGAGAAGAGACCGTCACTTCGTGAATGTTTATAGCAGCAAACGTAATAGCGTGGGGATAGCGTCGTTCAGATGGGATGCTTTCCCTTTGCATTCTGGTTTTTTTTTTTTTTGGTCACACCCGGCGATGCTCAGGGGTTCCTCCTGGCTCTGCACTCAGGAATGACTCCTGGCGGTGCCCGGGGGACCCTATGGGATGCTGGGAATCGAACCTGGGTCGGCTGCGTGGCAAACACCCTACCCGCTGTGCTATCACTCCAGCCCCACTTTGCATTCTGACTCCTCTCTGTGCAAAGCATCTGAGACTAGGGCCTTAGTTCCTGGTGACAAAGGGAGCGAGGAACTGGAACGGGGCGGGGGGGAGGGGGGGGCGGCGAAGGCAAATGATTAGACAGGCTGGGGCGGGGGGGGGGGGGGGGGGGCGGGGAGGCGGGGAACAGAGGAAGAAGCCCAGGAGGGGTCAGCCAGCCTGGCAGTTTCTCTCTGTCCTTTCTCTTTGTATAAAGAATGAGGGGACACACCTACCCCCCCCCCCGTTCCCCTCCTCCGCCCCACCTGAGTATTTGAGTATTAGGCAGCTGTGGTGTCTGTGCCCACACGCGCCTGCCTGCGAACTGCCCCTTCCCCGCAGAGACCTACCTTGATTCACAAAACAAAAACGTTGGCGTTAGAGAAAGGAAAGGAGAAAAGATGACCAGCGGCCTGGCAGGGAACCAGACCGTGACGGGACAGCCTCCCCGGACCTGTCCTGTTCCGAGCAGGAAGAACTGTTTGACCAGAGAAGAGGGCCAGGCCCTCATGCACCTGGAGGCCAGGGCAGTCCACACCTTCCTCGAAAAACACACCATGCATCAAAAACATCTTGTTTTAGTTTTTTTTTGGGGGGGGTGTTGGGCACACCTTTGACTTACTCAGGGCTCACACCTGGCCCTGCGCTCAGGAATCACCCCTGGTGGGGCTTACGGGACCCTATAGGATGCCAGGGGCAAGCACCCCGCCCTTTGCTCCTGCCTTGGAAACATGTTTTCCGTGGAATGTGTGTAGTTTTGCCCCTCTGTGCCGTCGGGGGTGGGGGAGAGTCGGGGGCTCTACGGGAGCACCTGAGCGAGAGCCCAGGTCCTCCGTGGGTGGCCAGGAGCGGCCTAAGTCCGCCTGCTCCAGCCTTTGGGAGCGAGAGGTGTCGTCAGGAGCAAAACCCAGACCCTCCAGCCTCTGCGCCCAGGGGACCGTCGGTGGTGGTCGCGGTGTCTGCCACGTGCAAGGCAAGGGCTGCCCTGATTTATTTCCTTGGATTTCAGGGCCAGGGACAGCTCAGGGCTTACTCCAGCCTCTGCACAAGGGTCAGTAGCCCAGGAAGGCCCCCTGGTACTACCCCTCAGGCCTCGAGGCAAGCACTTTAAGCATCTTTCTGCCCTGCACCGCCCCCCACTGAGGACTCTGGGGTCAGAAAACGTTGGCACAGGCGGGCCCCAGGCTGGCCTCTGAGGGTGGGACCCTCTCCCTGGGAGTAATGATGCTGAAGACTGAGGGGGGGGGGGGCGGGCAGAGGGAGGGAGAGTGTGCGCATGCGCAAGCAGCTCCAGCTCCACGTCCTACCTCCTGTGCACGGGGCGGAGCCATCGCCGGGACCACGCCCCTCCGCGCACGGGGCGGAGCCACGGCCAGGATCACGCCCTTCTGCGCACGAGGCGGAGCCACCCACCAACAGGACCACGCCCCCTGCGCACACGAGGCGGAGCCATCCCCGGGACCACGCCCCTCTGCGCTCAAGGGGCGGGGCCACTGCTAGGGCCCCGCCCACTCGGGGAATCCCGGAAAGCGCGCCTCCGGCGTGGGCGGGGCGTGGGCGGGGCGTGGGCGGGGCCCCGGCGGGCGCCAGGTCCGGAGCGGGGCCAGGTGTGTCGGGGCCAGGTGTGTGGCGCGCCTGGGAGCCCAGGTGAGGCGGTGGCGGAGTCTGCAGCCGGTAAGGGCACGGTGGGCACGGCCAGGCCCCCGGGGGCTGGCCCACTGCTGAGCTGGGCATGCCCTGGAGGGCGGCGCCGACCCCCTCCTGCGACCCCCTTGCTCCCTGCCCCTCCCCCTGCGCCCCTTGCTCGCCGCCCCTCCCCCTGCACCCCTTGTTCGGTTCCTGGCACCCCACTTCTTGTCCTGTCTCTTCCTCTCCTCGTGTTCTGCTTGGCGGATGGGCGGCCTGGCCCGCCCCACTCTTCCTTCCCTGCCTGGTGGGGGGTGGTCTCCCTTCCCCTGGGGCCCACCCCATAGGGCCTCCAGCCCAGGAACTGGGGGGTTCAGACGAGAAATACCGGCCAAGCTGATGGAGAGCAAAAGACGGGCGCTGGCAGCCTCCTTACAGCCTCAGATCTGGCCTGTGGGCACTGCCCCGGCCACTGCCAGGGTCTGGTGGGGACAAAGAGGGGCATGACCCCCCTCCCCGACTTTATCTTAGTCCTGGTGAAGAGGCTTCTCAGTCCCCAGGGTGCGGTTTCTGGAGGGAGGAATGCAGGGACTTGAGGGCTATCAGAGAAGGCTTCCTGGAGGAGGCGCCTCCCTAAGCAGGCGGATGAAGGCTAGGAACGGAGTGGGGGGGAGTGGGGGGAGCACCGAAGGAGGGGGTAGGGGGTGCTTCGGTCGTTCCGGGTCGGTGAAGTGAGACCTCTGCCTGGCCCCTCAGGTCTGGGAACTGACTGCTCGACGCTGGGGCTGGTTCTTTTCGGATCCTTTTATTTTTGATTGTTGAGTCACTCCCAGCGAAACTCAGGGCGTACTCCGGCTCTGTGCTCGGGGATCACTCCTGGCCGTGCTCAGGAGACCCTGTGGATGTCGGGGATCGAACCCGGGTCTGCCACATGCAAGGCAAACGCCCTCCCCCGCTGTGCTATCGCTCTGGCCCTTCC